TGGGCTTTAGGGCCACGGTTTAGGGTACTATAAAGGTTCTTCTAGGAGTTCCTTTAAGGGGTTTAGGGGTTTAGGGTTTAGGGGCTTTGGGCTTTAGGGGCCTTAGGGGTTTAAGGGTTCAGGCTTTGGGCTTTAGGGTTTCGGCTTTAGGGGCTTTCGGGTTTGGGGTTTAGGGTTTAGGGGCTTTGGGCTTTAGGGGTTTTTTGGTCCTAGGGTTTTAGGGTTTTGGGTTTTAGAGTTTTAGGCTTTTTTGGGGCTTTTAGGGGCTTGCAGACTATGAGGTTAAATAACAATAGGTAGAGAGGTTTAGGGGTTTAGGGTTTAGGGTCTAGCTTTAGGGCTTTAGGGGCTTTAGGGGTTTAAGGGTTTAAGAGTTCAGGCTTTGGGCTTTAGGGCCACGGTTTAGGGTTTAGGGTTTAGGGTATACGGGCTTTAGGGATTTAGGGCTTTAGTGGTTTAGGGTTTAGGGGCTTTAGGGTTTAGGGTTTAGGGGTTTAAGGGTTGTGTAGGGATACTTTAAGGGTTCCTTTAAGGGTTCTATAGGGGTACTATAAAGGTTCTTCTAGGGGTTCCGTTAAGGGGTTTCGGGGTTTTAGGGGTTTTGGGGCGTTAGTGGCTTTAGGGCTTTCGGGGTTTAAGGGTTCAGGTTTTGGAGTTTTGGGTTTAGGAGTTTAAGGTTCAGGGGATTGAGGGCGAAGGGTTTAGGTTTTGGGGTTTTGGGTTTTGAGGTTTAGGGTTTAGGGTTTAGGGTTTAGGTTTTGGGGTTTTGGGTTTTGAGGTTTAGGGTTTGGGGCGAGGAGCTTGGTACAGTCGTCAGAATGTTGTGGAATCGGTTACGCGTTCAGGGCTTCTTTGAGGGCTCTATAAGGGGTGGATACGGTAGCAGCCCCTTACACGCCCAAAACAAGGAAACAGTACCATCATGATCCACGAAGCCCTGGTCCAGTTTTCTGTCTGGTGCTTAGTAGGGAAATGGGGGAATGGATCCCTATGACATTCCCTTAAGATCCCGTATAGTAGTCCCTATAACCCATTCCCCCATTCGCTACTAAGCACCAGACAGTTTTTTAAAAGAGCCCTTCCATGACCTCGTTCCAGGTATTATCTTCGGGTCGTATAGTGGTTCAAGGCTTTGGTTTTGGGGGTGTCCTTGGTTGCCCTTTTAGGGTTTAGGGGGTAGGGTTTAGGGTTTAGGGTGTAGGGTTTAGGGTGTAGGGTGTAGGGTGTAGGGTTTAGGGTTTAGGGTTTAGGTTTTGGGGGGTCCATGGTTGTGGATTCTACCCGGGTCTTGCAGAGGCGTTACACGGTCGCCAAGTGGGGGGTTTCCGAAAATAGGGGACCCTATAGTAGGATCCTTATTATAAGGAGCCCCAAAATAAGGTACCTCTGCTTTTCGAAAGCTCCCAAGTGAGTAAAGGTACAGTCAACAGGAGACGAGAAGGAAAGGTACCCCCAGTGTCTTGCACGTAGCAACAGCCCCAAAGGCAAATGAATGAAGATCAGAAGTTTTACCCTGGCAATGCCCCAGATCAACCCTGTAAATCCCTAAGAGCCCTAAGAGCCCTAAGAGCCCTAAGAGCCTTAAACCCTAAACCCTAAAACCCTAAACACACACACACACACCCAAAGACCTGAGCCCTATCAACCCTGTAAATCCCTCAGAGCCCTAAACCGTAAACCCTAAGCCATACGCCCAAAACCCTAAACCCGAAGCCCTGAGCCCTAAGCCCCAAGCCTAAGAACCCCAGGTTGGCCAGAGCTGATCGAGAGCCCGGGGCTCTTCCAGCGAGCTTTCGGACAGTTGGACGGCGAGGGAACACCGGAGGAGGTGGATTTAGGGCTTCGGGGCTTTCGGGTTATTTAGGATCTAGGGTAGGGTTTGGGAGGATTTAGGATCTAGGGTTTGGGATTTTGGGGGTTTGAGGGCTGCAGGGTTTTCAGGGGTTTAGGATTCAGGGCTTTAAGGACTGAAAGTTGGAAAGTTTAGGGCTTGAGGGTTTAAGGTCTGGGGCTTTAGGGATTTGCGGGGTTTAGGATGTCAAGGGAATTCTCAGGTGGGTAGTTACCGTCATTGGAGCCTTATAGAAGGTCTACAAAATTTATGGAAGCCCTATAGAGCCCTATATACCCTAAACTCCCATCAACCCTAAACCCTAAACCCTATATACCCTAAACTCTAAACCCTAAACCCTAAACCCTAAACCCTATATACCCTAAACCCCCCACCTGCAGTTTCCTTGGATGTTGAGGTGGCCGGAGAGCTCTCCGAGAGTTTGTTGTTTTGGTGTTTGTAGCGTTCTTTCTTTTTCAGTGCTACTGTTTTACCCTAAACCCTAAACCCCCAAAACCCTAAAGCCCTAAACCCCGAAAACCCTAAAGCCCCAAACCCTTTCCCCTAAAGTTGGGGTCCTTTTGGCGTTTATGTTTGGAGGGCTGAGGATCAGGGTCGCGCCCTTAACGGTTAAAGCCTTAACGCTACACCCCTATTCCGGGTAGTTCCCTCAAAGAGGGTCCCTTTAGGGTTTAAGGTTTAGGGTTGAGGGTTTAGGGTTTAGGGTAGTTCTCTCAAACAGGGTCCCTTTTTAGGTCCCCAATAGAGGGACCCCACTTTAGAGAACTACCCATATAGGTGCCTAAACAGTTACCTATATTATTTCTTGGGGGTCCTTCTTAAAAGACTATACTTCAATACACTTCAAACCCCTATTCTAAGCCTTAAAGACTCCTTAACAAACACCATACTTCGAAAGAGCCCAAACCCTTACCCTTTTCATCAAAGTGACCCGGCCTTATATCATAGGGTCTTTGGGCCCAAAAGCCTTAAAATATGAGTCCTTGAGGGCAAGGGTTCTTCGAATTATTAAGGCCCCTAGGTGGCAATTTGGGAAACTTTAAGATTTTCCTTATGGTGTCTATAGAGGTATCTATTCATAAGTACTTTTCAGGGCCCCAAAACTAGATCCCAGGCCCCCTAAACCCTAATGTAGGAACCCGATTAAGAAACCCTGGCCCTATAACCCCAATGTATTCGGGTTCACATTAAGAACCCTAATAACGGCCCAGGGTTTCTGCTCCTACATTAGACCCTGAACCCTAAAGTTGGGGTCCTTAATGCGTTGATGTTTGGAGGGCTGAAGATCAGGGTCGCGCCCTAAACGCTACACCCCTCTTTGAAAACCCTAAACCCTAAACCCTAAACCCTAATAACGGCCACTACAACCCAGGCCCCTATGTTCCGCCCCAGAGACTTTTGAGGTGGCCGGGAGACTTGCGACTCGGGCCGCAGAGCTCACCGAGCGAAAGGACTTTGACGCCGATCCCTGGTGCATGCTGCCGCTCAGCTTAGGGTTTAGGGGTTTAGGGTTAGGGTTTAGGGTTTAGGGGGTTTAGGGGTTTAGGGGTTTAGGGGTTTAGGGTTTAGGGTTGCTCTCTAATACCAGAGCTTTAGAACGCTTTGGGCTCTTATTGGGGGTTTCGGGAAATAGGGGACCCTAATATACAGTACCTTAAAATAGTAGGATCCCTAT